TTTCAATCATATAGATGAATTTCATGGTTAAGATCTTTTCTAAAAAATTAAGAAGGAAAAGTGTTCAACGGTTCATGCAGTCACCTAAGATTACAATTCTGTCGTACTCAGATTATAAATTTGTTATACTCAGATTATAATTCTGTTATATTTAGGTTATAATTCTGCTATACTCAGATTATAATTCTGTTATACTCAGACTATAATGCAACTCAGATTATAATTCAATTATACTCAGATTATAATTCTGTTATACTTAGATTATAATTCTGTTATACTCAGATTATAATTCAGTCACACCAAGATTATAATTCTGTCGTACTCAGATTATAAATTTGTTATACTCAGATTATAATTCTGTTATACTCAGATTATGATTCTGCTATACTCAGACTATAATTCAATTATACTCAGATTACAATTCAGTTACACTCAGATTACAATTCAGTTACACTCAGATTATAATTCAGTTATACTCAGATTATAATTCAGTCGCACACGGATTATAATTCAGGTATATTAAGATTATAATTCAGTTATACTCACATTATAATTCTGTTATGCTCAGATTATAATTCTGTTATATTCAAATTATAATTATATTATACTTAGATTATGATTCTGTTATACTCAGATTATAATTCTCTTATACTCAGATTATGATTCTGTTATACTCAGACTATAATTCAGTTATACTCAGATTATAATTCTGTTATACTAAGATTATAATTCTGTCGTACTCAGATTATAAATTTGTTATACTCAGATTATATTTCTGTTGTACTAAGATTATAATTCTGCTATACTCAGACTATAATTCTGTTATACTTATAATATAATTCTGTTATACTCAGATTATAAATTTGTTATACTCAGATTATAATTCAGTCGTACTCGGATTATAATTCAGGTATACTAAGATTATAATTCAGTTATACTCATACTCAGATTGTAGTTCTGTTATACTTAGATTATGATTCTGTTATACTCAGATTATAATTCTGTTATACTCAGATTATGATTCTGTTTTACTCAGACTATAATTCTGTTATACTCAGATTATAATTCTGTTATACTTCGAATATAATTCTGTTATACCCAGATTATAATTCTGTTATATTCAGATAAGCAATAACCGGTAAGAAGTGCCAATTTCTCACCATCCATTACAGTAACTCGAGCACTGCTCCATAATTTATTTTCACCCAATACAAGTACAAGTGAGTTTTCTCTTACCATTCTAAATAAAAAAGTACTTTTTTTTTTTTTTTTTGATCGAAAGAGGTAATAATTAAATCTTTATTTTGTAAAGCAATTCATCAATGCTAATAATACACGGCAAGATGCATATTCTCAAAGGGCTGAAAACGAAACTTCTTCACCATGCGAAAAGTGACATTACAACGATCATTAAGAAAATATTCGCAAGGTCTCATTGCTGCTTCTGGAGGATGACCATATAATACTTTGACCTATAATCATCTAAAATACTGTCTAAAGATTTTGGAGTTTCACTTTATCAATAAAAAAATTTATTCATGTAACCAATTTTCAACGTTCTACATCAGGTTTCATTGTAAAAACGTTCTACATCAGGTTTCATTGTAAAGGACGAAAGCAAATATCCCATATATTTACGGATCATAATTATATTACTGATCTTATTATTTTACACAATCATAATGAATTATATCACGCAGGTATTGCACATACGTTATCTGAATTAAGACGAAAATATTGGATACCGAAAAGGAGGAGCTGCTGTAAAACGAATCATAAACCTATGCTGTTATTGCATTCGCTGGAAAGCTAAACCGTTTAAACTGCCAGCGATGCCAAGTTTACCAGAAACGAGTAAAACGATCCAGAACTATCGAACAAGTCGACCTAGATTATATGGGTCCTCTTTCAGTCAAATCTAATACTGGTCTAGTCAAAAGATGGATAGCACTTTTTACATGCTTCACTACCAGAGTGGTGCATCCAGAAATGGCGGAGAATTTATCTGCCGAAAATTTTTCACATGTTTTAAGAAGATTTATCGCTCGACGTGGATATCCAAAATTAATATTAAGCGATAATGCAAGTCAATTTCAACTGGTATTCAAAACTATTATGGAAGAAAACGCTAATTTTTTGGCGACAAAGGATATGGTATGGAAAAATACTGTACCAAGAGCACCATGGAATGGTGGTGTACATGAAAGACTTATAGGACACACAAAAAGGGCATTAAGAAGAGCAATAGGAAGAAAACTTCTAAAGGAAGAAGAATTAATAACATTAATAATTGAAATAGAAGGAATCCTTAATACTCGTCCATTAACTTATGTAGGGTTTGATGACTATAGATTCATTCGTCCATTTGATTTTATATCATTTGATTTTATATTCATTAGATCTACCAACAAATTATGATAGTGATCAAGATGAATATACAAAAATAAAGACTAAAGATAAGTTAATCAAGTATTGAACTACCACTCTTACCACATTAGATGTCTTTTGGAAGTTGTGGAAAGAAGAATATCTTACAAGTCTTAGAGAACGCACACAAAGGGAATTAAAATCACCTAGAATAGTAGAAAAAAGGGTGCTACATGAAAATGAGATAGTATTATTAAATAAACCAGAAGTACCTCGTGATGTATGGAAATTAGCAAGGATAATAAAAATTAAACGAGGATGGGATGGAAAAATAAGGAGCGCAACAATACAATTACCAAATGGAAAACAAATTGATCGATCAATCAATATGCTTTATCCTATGGAAATAGATGCTATTGAAGATAGAGAAGAAAATGTGGAAGATGAAATCGATGCAAAAGACAAGTCTAATCTTATGATAAAAACTTTATCATTAATAACAATGATATCGTTAGTAACACGACAGGTATTAGCAAACAACAGCTGTAATTGCTTTGCTGGAGTGCTCTTTAATATTCCTGAAAAATGGAATTGTGAAGAAATTATTCACAAAAATGCTACATATCACAAAGTGGATGTGTACACCCATGTAAGAATACCAGCTTTATAGCAACATTACACGGACTGTATGCACGAAAGCTTTTCTCAGAATATCACTATCGGTAGTATCAGACTATACGTCTACTACCGCAACTTCCTCACAATTCTGCAAATATTTAAATGTTCGGAAACAAATGAACGGAATTGGACTAATTCAATCTTCTCCTAATCAATAGATAACGAATAAGGAATACAATACTCCTAATAGATGGTTTGGAGTTAGCTATCAATCAACGTCAAACTTCATATTAACTCAAGAAGAAATTCTCCTCTGGAAGAGGGTTAGTCTCTAACCTTGAAGATATAAAAGATTGTTTGAAAAGGATGAATGCATAACGAATACTAGCATTATCATATGGAATAACAATGATACGACCAATCATTGTTTATATCGAAAGATCGGAAAATTCAAGGCTACAAAGTATAACAACCATTTCATCATCGATGAGATACAAGCATCGCTTATAATATTGATAAAAACCCCCTTGTATTAAACACCAAAAATTGTAGATTCACCTTTCCAATTTTAATGCAGGGCGATATAGTTATGGAACTAGACGTTGAAGATGACTCGAACTCTACTACAAAATTCAAACGAAGAGTAACAAATAAACTATTGATGATGGAAAAGTCTCCGGATAGAAAATACAATCCTGAAAATGTAGAACTTCAATACCTTTCTGTTTCACTAAGACAAGAATTCCTTCAACAACTCAAAGAAACACAGAAGAGAAGTTGCCAAAACAGAAATAACTTATTACTTTTGATCAAATGGCTATCAATCAGCAATCCTACCATTGTCACGAAACTAACACTTCAAAGAAGCGATGCGATAGCTAAAAGAATTAGCGGAAATTTGATGGTGGCTCCTTGCAAATCAGAACAATCAACAATCGAAAATATCGAATTCAAAGAAGATTTAATAAGCAAAGGAGAGAAGGAGAAGAAATTATCAAACAAATGCAAAGGGAATTCAATGAAATTGTTCTACCGATAGAAGAAGAATTTGAAAACGTAATAACACATTGGAAATTGATTTTCATCTGTATAATTATCGTGACAATATTAACTATTTTAGTTATTATTAAGTGGAAATTTAAATTAGTTCAATCTCTCCTTTGTAACGAAATTCAAGTCAAACTACAATCATTACTTTCCCTATAGAATCACCACACACTCAATTCCTAACTAAAGAAGAAATCCCACCCATTAAACTCCATACATTTAACTATATACCTCAAAATCACTCTCTCTCAAAATTACATCTTAAAACAATCTCTCTCGTCTTTTGGGAGTGTCGCGAATTATAATTTAGCGAAAACTTCTAACCAATTTCATACTATCATAAATCATCTCTCTTTTTAAATTGTAAACAATCCTACGGTATTCACACATGTAATTTTAATCTCCTTTTTGTAAACACATCCAATTCTTCATGCATGTAATTTTTTCTGTAAAATTGAAATTAGCTTTCATTTTAATCTCTTCGTTATAAACACTTCCAATTCTTCACACATATGATTTTTATGTAAAATTGAAATTAGCTTTCATTTTAATCTTTTCTTTGTAAATACCTCGAATTCTTCACACATGTGATTTTATCTTAGACACGCTCAATCCTCACTCATATAAATTCAATTCTAATAAACAAAAAGGAATTATTATCATTATTATCGACTACTACTCTGTTAACCAATATCAATTCCTCCGGTCTTCTTTTTTATTATAAAATTCCTCTCTTTTTTATTCCTCGGTTTATTCATACTGCGTTTTCGAAAAATAAAGATTTATTAACTGTATTGCACTGTATTGCAACTATTTGAATATCAACCAGACAAATCTTTCACGATATTTTTTTTAAAAAAAAAAAACGACGATAGTTTATGTTTAGCTTTTTAATATAAGTAAAAATCTAATATTTTATTTGAGTTAAAATTTAATATTTTACAAGAAAAAGAAAAAAAAAAACTATTATGGTTTGTTATTTTAATAAACTATGAAGTATTATTATGCTTGTTTCCTTGTTTTTTTAACTGTTCGATTGTGGAAAAATTAACTAAATAATATTTCAGAGCAGTTTCATACATATTCTTTCCTTGTTTCCTTTATTAACTCCAATAATTTTATGATTTTGAATTTGTCTAAAGTTTTACTCATTTAAAAAAAAAAAAAATCGTAAAATAATCGAAGTAAAGCATAGTAAGGAATTCTTTCAGTGTATTAGACTACACCATCTGAATGAAAGTGAAGTGAAAAATCATTGAAGAAATTAATGAATCAGAAAAGAGTGAAAAGTAGTGATAATAGTTTATCTACAAATTTCAATCAGGTCTGTATGAAAATGTCTTCTTAAATAGTTTCAGTTTTCATTTCCTATGCAAATTTGTTAAATTATTATGCATAATTCATTAATGCAAATAAAATCGATTTGTGATAAAACTGAGAAAAATCATTCATTTTGTCATTATTCCAAATTGAGGATTGGTAGCGTGCAGACTGTTTAAGGAAGTTAGGATTTTACTTAAATTTAAATTTACTATTCAAATACACTTCTTTGCTGATGGTTTGTAATAAACTTTCTGCTAGAATTTGAAATTTTCATTTTTCCCTCCTAGAAAGTTTTTAGTTGTTACTAATATTACTGCTGTTCCATTCAGTCAGGTCATAGCGAAAAAAACTTAAAAAAAAGGTTGATCTAGAGGAAATCATGCAATTAGGTTAATTTAGATTAAAATTTAGTACTTCTTTAGGGAATCAAAAATTGTGACTTTTTGTTCTGTTTCAGATGAAACCAGAGACGACTACAGAGAGACATTTCGATGTCAGTAAGGATCAGAAAGTACTGGAATTACAGAGAAGAATTTGCAGTCGAGTAAGTATCGTATTCAATTTATTACTTAATATCTGTTGATAATGTAAGTTTACCAGTGAATCTTTTATGCTTTTTGCAATTTATAAAATTCAAGATTGTAAGATAAAACAAATGAGAATTTTCTTTAACAAATCAAAAAAATAATAAGTTTGTCTCAAAAAATTTGATAAAAAAAATTTAGTATGCTACTTGCAGTGAAGTGAGTAAAGCGCATTCGCTTCGATAGATCCTTTCACTTAGCTTTATTCCTAGGGATGAATTTTAGGAAATATTACACAATAAATTGATCATTTCAGACAAACACCAATAAAGAGATGACACAGCAATATTTGGAAGGAAGGTAAATTACTGTTTTATGTTTTCGTTCTTTCTCTGTTTGGAAACTTTCGCATTTTCATTCATACTCCTATATCACTTTTTTGTTATTTAAAATATTAATTTTCTAATGTTTTATTTAATATTTTTACTCTAGCTAATGTTTGGTTTGTATTCATGGTCTTCAGATGCTAGTGCGTTTTTGTATTCCTGAATGCCTGAAGCACTTGCAGGCTTGTTAAATGTTGTTTAGGAAAATGACTTTCTCCATTTACTATGAAATGCTTTCATATTATGCTTTCACCTATTCCATTTTCTCGTGCATCATTCTTGTGTGGTTCAAAATTTCTAAAAATGATACATTTACAGGGAAGTTGCTCTGGAGAATCAGCTGTTATTATATAAAATGGATGAGAAAGGAACTGGTTGTGAGTCAGCGCAGAATAAACAAATTAAAGTGAATGTTGGATGTGGAGTTGCAAATAAAAGAGAAGGATGGAAGGCGGATGAGTCACTGAAAATTTTGGAAGACAATGTAATTAATTTAATCGAAGCTGAGGTTCGTTACTATGCTTCATATTTTTAATAAGCTATGCATTTGAATTTTAAGCGCTTGAGCACATTATTACTTTGACATTTTACTGATAGCATATGATTTATACAGTTATCTGGAAGGAAATAAATATGACACAGTAACACCGCTGCATAACTTAATTTCTATTAGGTGCTGTTATGTAAGCAGTTATGCAAATATTATTTGTATTTAATTATTAACAAAGTTGAGATTCTTGATCTTGGAACTTTTTGTTTATCTTTAATATGTTTTTTTTTTTTTTTTTTTTTTTTAAAGATAATCAAAGGGATTTTTTCTTCTTCCATGCAAATATCAAATTAACAATTTTCTCAAATTTTTAACTTTCAGATCATGTCAATGGGAACGGATATTCAGTGGACGGATATATGTGGTTTGGAGCCGGCAAAAAAAGCACTTAGAGAAATTATCGTTCTTCCGTTTCTCAGACCGTATGATTTTATGTATCTAACATTTATTTATACAGTCAGTGCAGTGTCAGTGCAGATATTTTTATAAATTACTTTACTATATGTGAATATCGAAACAAAGTATGGTTATTTCTCCACGAAATAATAGTATTAATTTTTGTAATGTTTATTTACATTCAGTTAATAATGATATTAAGAAATGCTTGGATAATGTTCACATATCAAAATTAAATTTGAAAAAAAGTTAAAGTATTATATGTTGAAGCGCTTCGATGAAATCGAATATTCATATATAAAATTATCAGAAAATGACAGAAAATATAAAATTTTCGTATCGTTTCTTATCGATTGTTTGTTCTATTTTCTCTACATCCCATCTCTATAATGTGTACGATTTCAGTGACATTTTCAAGGGTATACGTGCACCACCTAAAGGTGTGTTGCTTTTCGGACCACCTGGTACTGGCAAAACCATGATTGGTTAGTATATATTGTTACTAGTTAAAGGTTTAAATATTTTTTATGAATTTGTATGAATAATATCTTGAGTTCTATGAAAATACTATTGCAGGACGATGTGTTGCATCGCAATGTAAAGCAACATTTTTCAATATAGCCGCATCGTCTATTACGTCAAAATGGGTTGGTGAAGGTGAAAAACTTGTTAGGGCTCTTTTTGCGATAGCACGGGTTTTACAGCCTTCTGTGATTTTCATTGATGAAGTGAGCTGAGTTTTACTTTACCTTGTTCCAAAGAACATAATTAACGGCCAAAAATTTCCAATAAAATCTAGATTTCACATCATTTTATTGCTAACTTTTTTTTATTGCTATGCTATAAATGAGCGTAAATTTTCAAAAACTTCGAAATAGTATTTTTTCCTTACACTACATCGTTTATTTATTTGTTTTCATAAAAGACGGTTTATTTGAAGATGTTAGATACGAGCATTCTCTTATACTTTCCATATTGTGCATCCTAGTTGTTGAAGCTCGTCGATCTATACTGAATAATATTAAAAGTGTAAAGTCATTAATTAATTCAGTTATTACTAACTGTAATTTCAGATTGATTTTTTGCTTAAAAGTGGCAATGAGAGTGAGCATGAGTCATCAAGACGAATAAAGACTGAATTTCTTATCCATTTGGATGGTGTTGCAACTACCTTTGATGAAAGAATCCTTATTTTAGGAGCTACAAACAGGTACAACTTTCTATTATTTTACATTCCTTTTTTTTTTTTTTTTCATTGATTTTTTCTTCAGATGAGTTTTTCATTAATTATTAAAAATACGTTATTTCGAATTCATTTTTCTGTTGTTCGCTTTTGAGGAAGTGTTTGAATTGACTAGAGAAGACAAAGCTACATTGTGTGAATTATTTCCATTTTCATTTTTACTTATATTTCATTATTTCTCTTTTTAAGACCTGAGGAATTGGATTCAGCTGTTAAACATCATTTTGCGAAACGTCTGTACATTGGTTTACCATCTGATGCTGCAAGAGCACAAATGATTCTCTTACTTCTCAGCGATCAAGAACATAATCTTTCGGATAGCGATGTACAGTCCATAGCGAAATTAACAGGCGGTGAGTGTGGCAAAATTTATTATAATTAAGTGATTATTCATTGAAAAAGTATTTAATTCTTTTATTATTACAGGTGAAATGAATTTCATTACCGTGAATGTTACAGGCTATTCTGGAGCAGATATAAAACAACTGTGCTCCGAAGCAGCAATGATTCCAGTTCGTAATATTGTTGATTCATCCTCACTTGATCTTGTTTCTATCAGCGCTGAAGAGGTTAGTTTTCATAAATTTTCTCAAGAATTTTCTCTGAAAGATGAAATTGTGCATTAGAAATGAAATGAAATAAAAAAGGAGCACTTGATTTCGGAATGTTATCGATTTCTTTGAATAGTTCTTACCACGAAAAATATTATTAACCCAGTGAATCCAGTTTTTCATTAATTTTCATTATTAGTAATCCTTGCTATCTTTGTTTTTTTTTTTCTTCTTTTCGTCAAGATAAAAAATAATGCTTGTTCAGATCCGTCCAATCTGTTTTTCGGATTTCGAAGTAGCAATGCGTTCTGTTCGCCCAACGGTTGTTGCAGAGGATTTAGAAGGGTATCAGGCATGGAACAAACAATATGGCTCTTTTGTTTCGGAATAAAACGTTTTGAATGATGTTTTGAATGAGAGTCGTAGAAAATTGGTGCCATTATTTTAGGATTCATCTATACTTCCAAGAGTTATGGTTATATCCTTTCTGATGAAATTTTTTTGTGAGTATAAACTTCTATGTGAGTATAAACTTCTGCTGTATTTCTGTTCACTGTTATGTTTTTGATAAAGAGTTCTGCTATTATCCATTTCCGTTTCCATACTATATGTGGTATGCTGACCTTTGCGTTTATATTCAGCAGTTTTAAGAACTTTTCGAGTTTAATAAAACTTTTCTTTTTTGGCCTTGATTTTGAATAAAGAATTTGTTGTACAGTTAACCTAGCCAGTTGATTACTTTTCCAGTTTCAAATTGCTATTCTTATAGTCCAAAACATATATATATATATATAGTGAAAGTATTACTGAATACTGCATATAAAGTTGTAAAAATACGCGACAGGAGATGCATATATGCTACTTTAAGCATTACATATGTCACAAATTAATTAGTCATTCTAGATACTTCTAAAATTGTGGTTATAGTAGATTAGTTTTTAGACATAATTATGTTTTGCATTTGAAGTTGGGATTGTCAGAATTAAATTATGGTGGAGCAAAACGAATGAGAAAATTATCGGTCGCAGGTTTGTGTACAATTTTTTTTCAATTAATTTTTTTTTTGCTAAAGCTCAAGTGTCGATCGATTGTGATCCTTAAGTTTATTATCTTAGCACTAAGGTAAAAATAATGAGTAGAATGTTCATTCAGATGGATTATAAATGAATTTGTTTCATGCATTTACATACAGTTAACATTCTTTAAGTGAATATTTGTGTATGGAATGATTCAAAAGATTAATGTTACTAGATTAATATTACTTAAAATCCTGAAAAGCAATTTCACTATAAAATTCTTACTTTTTCAGCTTAAAGAAATTGATGCAGAGCTTGAAACATGTACAGATCTTCAGAGAAGAAATACTCTGATGGATTCACATTCTGACTTAGTAGAACTTATTGCACTTTTGACTGGTAATAAGATTTCAGCTTTGATATAAAATGAATTTCACATTTTTTTTTTTTTATCTAAAGACTTACAATTAATCAGTGCAATAAGTTTTTAGCATTTAATGCATACATAAATCTTGCTAAAATTCTGGATATTAATGAAGAAATTGTACTGTTTATTCCATTATAGTTAATTAAGTAGTAATGATATAGTTAAGTAATAATGATTTTATTGATTAAAAAAAAAGCTTTGACTAAAGTTTGAATTATTTAATTTTTCGAAACTAAGTGTGATTTTTTATACATTATGTATATTTTTGAAATTTTAGAAAATTTATTCTATATCGTTTTGTAAGCATTGTTAATTTTATTGCAGAAAATGAAACAACTTCGGTGACGGGACAAGATTTTAATGAAACTCATACGAGCAGTGACGTGCAAGATTCTAGTTAATTAATTGAAATGCACTGTCTTGCACTGTACAATCGAACTATTGATCGTGCGGTGCATTTCCACGACGCTGTCATTTTAGATTTTGTTGAAGATTCAAGTGAAGAAGATGACCTCAAGGTATGTTAGGCTAACTAATTTTTGTAACTTTTTTTTTACAATGAAACCTGATGTAGAACGTTGAAAATTGGTTACATGAATAAATTTTTTATTGATAAAGTGAAACTCCAAAATCTTTAGACAGTATTTTAGATGATTATAGGTCAAAGTATTATATGGTCATCCTCCAGAAGCAGCAATGAGACCTTTGGTGGTTTAAGCGGAATTATTTTGAGAGCTGCTAGCTTAGATGTGATACTACATGATACTTATTATGTTGTAGCTCATTTTCACTATACTTTGAGCCTAGGGGCTGTTTACGGAATTTTTGCGGATTTTGTCTATGGCTACCTTATATGTATGGTATTTCTTTTGACGGTTCATTGATGATTGCTATTTTTTTTGTTTTTATTGGTACTAATATGACTTTTTTTCCTATGCATTTTGCCGGTATACAGGGAATACCTCGTAAGGTCCTAGATTATCCAGATTGTTATTCTATATTTCAAGTTTTTTCTTCATTAGGTTCTGTTATTACTTTTATTGGGTTTATATTGTTTAATTATTTAATGATTGATTCTATTTTTTTTCTCGTTTTTTAGGTATTTCTTTTTATAATGGGCATAGTCCTTCGTATATTTCCAATGTCCCCCCTTTGCCTGACTCTTTTTTGGAGGAGATTTTAGGTTTTGGTTTATGCGAATATTTTCTTAATGATCGTTGTAATGTCACTTTTCGCATGGTGAAGAAGTTTCTTTTTCAGCCCTTTGAGAATATGCATCTTGCCGTGTATTATTAGCATTGATGAATTGCTTTACAAAATAAAGATTTAATTATTACCTCTTTCGATCAAAAAAAAAAAAAAAAGTACTTTTTTATTTAGAATGGTAAGAGAAAACTCACTTGTACTTGTATTGGGTGAAAATAAATTATGGAGCAGTGCTCGAGTTACTGTAATGGATGGTGAGAAATTGGCACTTCTTACCGGTTATTGCTTATCTGAATATAACAGAATTATAATCTGGGTATAACAGAATTATATTCGAAGTATAACAGAATTATAATCTGAGTATAACAGAATTATAGTCTGAGTAAAACAGAATCATAATCTGAGTATAACAGAATTATAATCTGAGTATAACAGAATCATAATCTAAGTATAACAGAACTACAATCTGAGTATGAGTATAACTGAATTATAATCTTAGTATACCTGAATTATAATCCGAGTACGACTGAATTATAATCTGAGTATAACAAATTTATAATCTGAGTATAACAGAATTATATTATAAGTATAACAGAATTATAGTCTGAGTATAGCAGAATTATAATCTTAGTACAACAGAAATATAATCTGAGTATAACAAATTTATAATCTGAGTACGACAGAATTATAATCTTAGTATAACAGAATTATAATCTGAGTATAACTGAATTATAGTCTGAGTATAACAGAATCATAATCTGAGTATAAGAGAATTATAATCTGAGTATAACAGAATCATAATCTAAGTATAATATAATTATAATTTGAATATAACAGAATTATAATCTGAGCATAACAGAATTATAATGTGAGTATAACTGAATTATAATCTTAATATACCTGAATTATAATCCGTGTGCGACTGAATTATAATCTGAGTATAACTGAATTATAATCTGAGTGTAACTGAATTGTAATCTGAGTGTAACTGAATTGTAATCTGAGTATAATTGAATTATAGTCTGAGTATAGCAGAATCATAATCTGAGTATAACAGAATTATAATCTGAGTATAACAAATTTATAATCTGAGTACGACAGAATTATAATCTTGGTGTGACTGAATTATAATCTGAGTATAACAGAATTATAATCTAAGTATAACAGAATTATAATCTGAGTATATCAGAATTATAATCTGAGTATAATTGAATTATAATCTGAGTTGCATTATAGTCTGAGTATAACAGAATTATAATCTGAGTATAGCAGAATTATAACCTAAATATAACAGAATTATAATCTGAGTATAACAAATTTATAATCTGAGTACGACAGAATTGTAATCTTAGGTGACTGCATGAACCGTTGAACACTTTTCCTTCTTAATTTTTTAGAAAAGATCTTAACCATGAAATTCATCTATATGATTGAAAGAGTAGATTCCATCAAATTTAGTTTTTCTTATCCATGATTTTTTTCCAAAACTTCTTTAGCTATGCAAAATTCTTTTAAATTGATGCTAAGTGAAAATGTTACCCTAACCTTCCATCCTTTCTCAACATAAAGCATATTTTTAGTAAATTTTATTTGTTTTTTTTTTTTTTTTTAGGCTGACTTTTAATAAAAATGCACAAATTGCAAAAGCATTGACGATTATAAAGATATGCGAAGAAGAAACATTTACACAAGAATATGTATCAATATAATTATCCTCAACTTGGGAAGGCATTCAAGCTGCTTGATCATTTCATTATATCAAACATTGTATTATTATTCATGACTTCACTATCAATTTCTGAAGAAACTTTTTGGTTATTTAAGTACAATTAATTGGTCTCTTCCAGTGGACAGATGGAATTTTCTAACGGTTGTATGATTGCATCTATTTTAGATCTTTTAGAATTTTATTTAATATGTGAATTCTGCTCATTACATATTTTTTATTTTTGATAGCTTTTTTATAGGTAAATGACTTATGCATTATGTTATTAGTTTTTTGAAAATATATTCAGATTCACCTAGCGTTACCCGTTACTATTCCCAGTTATGATCAGATTTCTATTGTTTTTCTTTTAAATTTATTTCTTTTTTATATTAACGAATTTCTCAGTGTTAGTATACTTGAGATTAAGCATGGTGTAATATGACTTACTATTCAACATTTATCAAGCTATCGCATGTGCTGAGGCGAATGCAACAATAATCTCTCCATTTGTTGGCCGAATTCGTGATTGGTATTTGAAAAATCAGATTCGAAAGATTATAATATCTAATTTTGTTTGAGTTAAATTTGAAACTTGTTTTTAGAAATTAAATGTGCAAAACGGAAAAAACGATATAGATTTTCCTTATTGTGTTTTTTTTTGACCAGTTGATTTTGGAATATTCTTCGTCTTTAGAATGTCCGAAAAATCTGTTGTTATTACAAAATATATGACTCCAGAGCAGAAGTTATGGCAGCATCATTTCGTAACATAGATGAAATCTTAAGTTGCGATTTGGTGACGATCAGATAAGAAACACTGTACTTTTTTTTTGTAAACGTAAAGTTCTAAAAATATTGTCTTTAAGAGATCTATCTTATCAAATTGTGAAATTTATTTCTTTGAAATGGCATTGCTCAAAGATTTATCGGTTGACCATGAATATGTCTCTATAATTTTATATCCAGGAAAGGATATATTTATACATTTTATATATACATGAATTTCTCTACGGAAAATTGTGTTTTGTTTTTGATTTCCTTAAAAGAAATATGTTATCATTTTTGTCATTGATAATCGTTGGTATAAATATAATATATTTAAAAAAAGAAAAAAAAAACGAACTCTTTGAAATGCAAAACTTTTACTTGGCGAACTAATGATTCGGTATGAAATGAATGATGATAAAATGGCAGCGGATTTTTTGGCTGATTGAATATGTCGTTTTGCAGCAGATGTTCGAGCAATAGAAAGTTTAACTGATAAAGTTCTATGAGAGAAATTTTATTTGTTCGGGATTATTTGCATCGTAAATAATCTATTTCTGCATTTATTTTTGTTTTAAAACTTTTCTTAATTCATATGTAAATGTTGTATTATCATTTATTTTTACTTTATCATTCTTTCTGAATGATTTATTCTTGCTTACAAGTTTATCATATTTTTTGCATTATTAGAATGAGAAAGATGGTTTTTCTTTTTTTTTAGAAATTAGCAAAAAATGCAGCTAGCACGCAGTATATTAAACGACAGCACGTCAATCAAATAGTATAAGTATAAATGGATTTCTGATCGTATCCCTTTTTTATCAGAAATCTCTTTAAATATGGTTTGATTGATCTGACTTAACTCATTAAACAAATAAGTTTGGCACGAAAATATCCTATACAATATTTCTGATGAAATGTCTTTGTTCTTTTAATTTTTAATTGATAAAATCCAATCTTTTCTATTCTTTTTCTGAAAACTTATGATTTTTTTTTTCAAATTTTAGTAATTTCGTATGTAATCCGAATTAACCATACTAGTTTCAATGCTTCATCAGTGTGATAATTTATCATTCCTAAAAGTATCATTTTCTTACTTCAATACCAATTCAAATTACAGTTTGAATTATAGCTCATGAAATTTTAGATTACTTTTCTTTTTACTTAATCAATGGTATATAAATTTTGCTAATATTTGCTTTTTTTTTATATTATAATTGATTAAAAAAATGTTTTATGGAAAATTTTTGTATTGTGATAGTGTAAGATCATAATTTGAGTTTCTTAATTCATAGACTTTTTTCTGTTTTCTTTCCTAAACATAATAGATTTTCATTATTATTTTTATTTATCATTTCTGTGCTTTTTTTCTAACTTTCATTTATTAATTCTATAATTTTAAAGATAAGCTATTTGAGATGTTTGGTTTAATTTAATAAATCTTCGCAAATTATCTTGCTATTTTATAAAATTAATTTGTGTAATTGTAATATATATCATAGCATAATATTGCTTCGTTTTTAATCTGAAATAAAGGCGAGTAGATATCATAACTATTGATAAAATGATTGACGGATATTTTTTTCAAATTTCTGGGAAGCTTTTTTTATATTTTTTCATGACATAAAAATTTCCTTGGCAAACATTTTATTGTTCGAAGAAGTTTAATTATTGTTGAATGCCGGATTGAAATTTATTAGTGTTTAAAACGTAAAATATTTATGTATGAAATGATGAATAATTTCATGAAAATTGATCGAATTTCAATCATTTCATTGCTTTTTTATTAATATCAGAATCAATAAAGCGTATTGCGCGTTGTTTATTAATATAATGCCAAATACGCATTGCAATATTCATCAAGCCACCAATTAATGTTGATATAATTAAAAGTGTTACAACTAAAACAATTTTAAAGCTGGTCGAAATGGATTCTAAAAAGATTTTTACTACTTTTTGATTATTGATATATTTATTTATTTAGAAGCAAAATAAATTTTTTACAGTTTTTAATTATTGATATATATATATTTAGAAGCAAAATGGACTATAGTTTTATTCCGTAATTAAATTTTGCTACTCTTTAATTATTGATATGTCCATTTATTTATCTAGGAGCAAAATTTTACTAATAATTTTTCCTATGACTTTATTATTAATGTATTATGCTTAGAAATAAGATAAAATGATCTATTGAAATAAAATTTTATAAAAATTTATCATAAATTATGAATATTCTGTGCAATTAAGATGATATTTATTCATTTTGATAATCAAAAAAAGAGAAAAAAATCAAAAAAAAAAAGGGAAAACGCTATGATTAGAATAAAAAAATAAAAATATTATCTTAACTTATTGTTAAATAATTCTAATATTGTAAACATACACTTACGTATACGTGCTATATCAGGTGAGCGTGGTGGTAAACCAACCACGAAAATTCGATCAAAAAATTCTCTTTCAATAGTCAATGTTATCATATACCACAAGCATATTGATAAGCAAATTACCGATGATGTTTCAAACAGAGAAAGAACGAAAACATAAAACAGTAATTTACCTTCCTTCCAAATATTGCTGTGTCATCTCTTTATTGGTGTTTGTCTGAAATGATCAATTTATTGTGTAATATTTCCTAAAATTCATCCCTAGGAATAAAGCTAAGTGAAAGGATCTATCGAAGCGAATGCGCTTTACTCACTTCACTGCAAGTAGCATACTAAATTTTTTTTTATCAAATTTTTTGAGACAAACTTATTATTTTTTGATTTGTTAAAGAAAATTCTCATTTGTTTTATCTTACAATCTTGAATTTTATAAATTGCAAAAAAGCATAAAAGATTCACTGGTAAACTTACATTATCAACAGATATTAAGTAATAAATTGAATACGATACTTACTCGACTGCAAATTCTTCTCTGTAATTCCAGTACTTTCTGATCCTTACTGACATCGAAATGTCTCTCTGTAGTCGTCTCTGGTTTCATCTGAAACAGAACAAAAAGTCACAATTTTTGATTCCCTAAAGAAGTACTAAATTTTAATCTAAATTAACCTAATTGCATGATTTCCTCTAGATCAACCTTTTTTTTTAAGTTTTTTTCGCTATGACCTGACTGAATGGAACAGCAGTAATATTAGTAACAACTAAAAACTTTCTAGGAGGGAAAAATGAAAATTTCAAATTCTAGCAGAAAGTTTATTACAAACCATCAGCAAAGAAGTGTATTTGAATAGTAAATTTAAATTTAAGTAAAATCCTAACTTCCTTAAACAGTCTGCACGCTACCAATCCTCAATTTGGAATAATGACAAAATGAATGATTTTTCTCAGTTTTATCACAAATCGATTTTATTTGCATTAATGAATTATGCATAATAATTTAACAAATTTGCATAGGAAATGAAAACTGAAACTATTTAAGAAGACATTTTCATACAGACCTGATTGAAATTTGTAGATAAACTATTATCACTACTTTTCACTCTTTTCTGATTCATTAATTTCTTCAATGATTTTTCACTTCACTTTCATTCAGATGGTGTAGTCTAATACACTGAAAGAATTCCTTACTATGCTTTACTTCGATTATTTTACGATTTTTTTTTTTTTTTAAATGAGTAAAACTTTAGACAAATTCAAAATCATAAAATTATTGGAGTTAATAAAGGAAACAAGGAAAGAATATGTATGAAACTGCTCTGAAATATTATTTAGTTAATTTTTCCACAATCGAACAGTTAAAAAAACAAGGAAACAAGCATAATAATACTTCATAGTTTATTAAAATAACAAACCATAATAGTTTTTTTTTTTCTTTTTCTTGTAAAATATTAAATTTTAACTCAAATAAAATATTAGATTTTTACTTATATAAAAAGCTAAACATAAACTATCGTCGTTTTTTTTTTTTAAAAAAAATATCGTGAAAGATTTGTCTGGTTGATATTCAAATAGTTGCAATACAGTGCAATACAGTTAATAAATCTTTATTTTTCGAAAACGTAGTATGAATAAACCGAGGAATAAAAAGAGAGGAATTTTATAATAAAAAGAAGACCGGAGGAATTGATATTGGTTAACACAGTAGTAGTTTTCTATTATATAATTCTATTATACTCAGATTATAATTCTGCTATACTCAGATCATCTATTATACTCAGATTATATTTCCGTTGTACTCAGATCATGATTCTGTTATACTCAATTATAGTTCAGTTATACTCATACTCAGATTATAATTCTGTTATACTCAAATTACAATTCAGTTCTACTCATACTCAGATTATAAATCAGTTATGCTCAGATTGCAATTCCGTTATACTCAGATTATAATTCTGTTATATTCAGATTATATTTCTGTTATACTCAAATTATAAATCAGTTATACTCATACTCAGATTATAAATCTTTTATGCTCAGATTATAATTCCGTTATGCTCAGATTATATTTCCATTATACTCAGATTATAATTCAGTTATACTCATACTCAGCTTATAATTCTGTTATACTCAGATTATAATTCAGTTATACTCAGATTATAATTCCGTTATACGTTATACCTTGCAGTATATCTAACATTTCATTCATTCATTTTTCTTTATTTAATAAATATTATCAATTATCATTTTTTTTTTTAAAAAAAAAAACGATTAGTATTTTATATTTTGTTTATTTACTTTTATTAGTATAGAAATAGCCAAAAATTTTAGTTCAATAGTTAAAAAAAAAATTTATGGAAGAAAAGAAGAAGCAAATTTTATTATATTTTTTCATCATATCATTGTAATTTAATTATAATTAAAAAAAAAAAAAAAAGAAAAAATTGAATACTAGAGCTAAAATAATTGATACGATAGCATAAACAATTTGCTACCAATTTTATTTCACCTTGTAGAATTCTAACAAAAAAAAAAAAAAAGAAGAAAAAGCGAAGAATTAGTACTAAGACTGATAGCATTGAAGAGTGAAGTTAATCTAAAAAGTTGTAAAACTAATTACAATTTTCCATCACATTTTTTTTCCCATATGTTTATTGTTTTAAATAACAAACGAAAAATAATTCATATATTTATATATAACTTATAAATTTCTGCCACAATGTGTATCAACTGTTCAGTAAATGCTAAAAGTTTTTTATAAACAAATGAAATTTTAAGATAACTGAATAAAAGATGATGAAAAATCTGAAGAGAGTAACAGATTAATTATAATTTCATAAGCTTTTAAAATCAATAATGGCTAATTAATTAAATTAATGCTAATACTTTAAAGTTATGCACCATCTTCATGGATTATTAATGCTTTTCATGGATTATTGTGAAATTTATCCGATGTGGGCACGAAGTATTTCTGTTAGCATTGCTGCATTTTGCAATTGGTTATTTGATATTATTGCTTCAACGTCTTTCACTTTACTGATTAGAAATATTGGAAGAGATTGTAAGATTTTTGAACAGAAAAATTAAAATTGTATTTGAAAAAAAAAAAAAAAGAAATTTTTTGTTAAACTATAGAAATTTAACAATAACGAGTGCATATGATTCGTTCTATTTGACTTAATATTACAATTAATCGCTAACTTTCTCTAATTTATTTTAAATATATTGTAAAAGTGAAGTTGTTGAATGATAAATTAAATAAAATTTCATCTATGGAAAAACAAAGAGATGAAGTGAAAAAGTTGCAGATGAGCAAATTGTTGTATCAAATAATCAGAAAACGAGTTTATAGTTTGATTTTTTCAAGTTTTTGAAAAATCTATTGTTTTTTTTTTTTTCAAAAACTTGAAAAAAAAAATCTTTTGTTTGAAAACACATTTTTTTTGAAAAAATTGTTTTAATGTTAAAAAATATGATGCTGTTATTGCTTATTGACCGGCTCAGTTAATAGAGTACTATATCGAGGTCCAGTAATGTTACCGGATTTAGCTGGAGTAATATTACGTTTTCGGATGATGAAAATAGTAATAACCGCTGATATCGAAAAGGCATTTTTACAACTAGAACTACAAAATGAAATTGTACACGTTTTCTTTGGTTGGATGATATTGATAAAGAACTAACCAATGAAAATATAAAATGTTACCGATTTAAGAGAGTTCCTTTTGGAGTAATATCCTCACCTTTCTTATTAGCAGCAACATTAAATTACCACCTAGAAAATCATGGTAGTGAATTGGCATGGAAGATAAGAAAGAACTTATACGTGGACAACGTTATTATATCAGCTAATGGAACAGAAGAGGCCTTATATAAATATGAAAGAACGAAAGAAATTTTTGGTGAAGCATCGATGAACATAAGAGAATTTCTTTCAAATGACGAAGAATTTAATGAAAGAATACCTGAATGCGACCTAAACCAAACAAACCAGGAAAATTTTCTTGGTCTTAAATGGAATCATGAACGAGATATTATCCGTGTGACACTGAAACTATGGATAGGAAAAAGTTTAACAAAGAGGACTATCCTACAATTCATAGCCTCTCAATACGATCCATTAGGTCTTCTCGTTCCTATAATGATCAAACTTAAATTATTCATACAACACTTATGGAAAGAAAACATTCCATGGGATCAATCTTTAAACAAACAAGACGAACAACAGTGGATAATCTCATCAAAGAATGGCCAACAAATACAATAGAGCTGCCAAGATTTGTAATGAAAACTTCACAATTAACAGAATTCCATATATTTATTGACGCTTCGAAAGTTGCCTATTCTGCAGCTATTTATATTCTCAATCATGGATATCAAAACACATATTAGAATTCATTTTTGATTTATGCTAAATCTCGAATTGCTCCAATTAAAAGTATGTCAATTCCTAGACTTGAATTATTATTATCTGTACTAATTGAAGTAAGAGCAGCTCAATTCGTATTGAAACAATTAAATTTTGAAAATAATCAACTTACTTTGTGGACATTCTTTACCAAAATTATACAAAGCTACTTCCCAGATTTGTACAAAACCGCATCGAAGAAATAAGGATATCTAACTTCGAATTAAAATACATACCAAGTGATCAAAATCCAGCAGATATAGCCACCAAAGGAGTATCACCACTTAAACTCCAAAATTGTAAACAATGGTGGAAAGGACCTCGATGGTTGAAAGTTGGAACTCAAGAAATCTGAATGGCCAAAGTGTAAACTTCGCTATTCAGGAAACGATGAATTTGCAGAAGCAATTGCTTTGAATTTGACAAAGATAACTCAAACTTTTAAAAGGGATACAATTGAATTTATTGATGAATGTCGCTTCAGCAGTTGGACAAAACTAGTTCGAGTAACTGTTTGGACTTTTAGATTTATTAAACAAACCTGCAAAAAGAAATTAGTGTGGCTAGAACCATTATCCAATAGAAAAAGAAATATATGACTAAAGTTGATTACGATACAGCAGAGACTATGCTGATCAGATAGGCCTAATCACAAATGCTAACAGAGGACGAAAAGGAAAAATGGAAT